TCGAAAATTATTCGTTTTTTGAAACATTTATTTGCAATCTGTTCAAACAAAAAGAGAAGCTTTTAGTAAAAATTCTAAAAATTTTCACATTCGATATCTTACTATAACCTCCTTAAATATTTTACAATCTTTTTTAACACTCTGTATAATTTAAAGAATTACAATTTCAGAAAAAAGAAAAAAGCAATGTACCTACATTTCAACACAAAAATTATTTTTTTACTTTTGTGCAATGTGGTAAAAAAACAACTTTTAAATTTTGTTCCAAGTAACTATTATTCATTTTTATTCCCAAAGTCGTTATTTTTGTTGATTAATAAAAACTGTAATCTCAACTGGAAGTCCCTGTGTAAACAAATTCTTATCAAAACAAGCCTTTTAAATTCATTTTATAAAATAGTTTAAGAATTGCTGTTTTAAAGCTTTTCAGTAGAAGTGTTTCTTAAATTAAGCCAAAAAGTCACAAATTTCTATTAATTATTTATAATTTTTTGGCCAAAATTTTGTGGGAAAAATTAAAGGAGTGAAACTTTTTTTATTGTTAAGAATTTTTTTGATTTACCAAAGTAAAACATAATGTTACAGAAAAAGCAATTTGCAAATTTTCAGGACTACCAAAATGTAGACAATTATTTTTCCAATATTTTTCAGTTTTTCATGTGCCAGACATGTCATCAGTCAGACTGTTTTTTTATGTAACTTTAACATAAGATTTATTAGAAGAACCCGAGGAAGAACAATTTTCATAAGTGTGACAAAAAAGTAGAAATTTTGGAAACCCTTTATACACGATGTTTTACTTATGATCACACCACTGACTGAAAAAAAGATTATGGATGTTCGCCGACTGAAAAAAATTTGTACCAAAAAAATCATTAGCTCCTGAACAAAAGCAAATTTTCAGTTTATAAAAATTATTTCCTGTAATAAAAAAAATATATATATATATATAAATATATAATGTAAAATATATTACGAGTTTTTAGTATTTAGTGTTTAGTAACATCAAGATATTGGATTTATGAACCAAGCGATAATTTGAAATTAATAAACATTTTAGTGAACAAGATGCTCAGCATGAATACTTTTCTTGACTTTTTAAAGATTTTTTGAAAAAATTATTATAAATAGACCTTTACCTACATTCAAAAAATAATTTTATAAAAAAGCACTTACTTGATATGGTATGATTTTATGACATGATTATTACAAAAAATATACCGGATAAAGGGATCGAATCTGACCTTTTGAACCAACTGCCCCAAACTCTATTTGGCTTAATTTCTATATAAATAATACATTAATTATAAGTAATTCAAGGGGTTGAAATTTATAAACTGATCAAAAAGGTAAAAAAGAGAAATTGAAATATAGGTGATTTTTCAATAATTTGGCATTTTTTACAAAACTTTTTTTACTAAAACAATAAATTCAAATTGCATAAAAAACAGATGAAAAAGACACTTACAACGTAAATATTGATGAGAAGTTTTCCAGTTTTTATTATTACGATTAAACTTTTTCTGGAAACCAATTTAAATAAGTTTTTATATTGAGGCTTTACTAAAATAGAAAATAATGATAATCTCAATAGAAATTTACAAAATTGGCGTAGGTTAACGCATTACACTGTTGGTGTTTTTATTACAAAAAAATAGAAAAAAAAAATTGCCGAATCAGGGTTCGAGTTTGAGTTTCTTGGGTTAAATACCCCAAACTCTAAATGGCCCTGCTTTTGTATCGGCTTTTAAAAAAAAATTCTGAAAATCTATTACGAGTATTTAACCTCAATTATTAGATGATCCTACATATAAAATAATATTGAAAAGTTTTTGAATTTTTGTTATACAGAACGCACCAAAACTCGCGCCCCAGAGAAAAATGCCACGTAAGGTAAGACACACAACATGGAAAAAATATTAAAAATCTATAAAAATTTCGAAGTTATGAATTTAAATTTTGTATTTTGACTCTATTTATTTCTGCTGGAAAAATAATTTTCCAAGTTTTTTTTTGCTACAGGCTATTACAAGAGGAAACAAAGATGCCGTATCCTTGTAACTCTGTTTAATGTTATTTGTGGCTTCTATACGTTTAATAAATAATTATAAAAAAAACGGAAATTGAGTAGATCGATCCGGCTTTCGTGATTGACAGTTTAAAAGGTGCGTTCTCGCAAGTAACTATTCCAAATTTTATAATATTTGGTCAAAGGGTTCCGAAGTTACTACAAAAAGAACAAATTTCTATATTTCTGTAAAATTGTTTTCAGTAGAGATAGGACACAAGTTATTATTTAAATTAACATCATTTTATAGGTCATTTTTGTAGTTCAAATATTGCTTCATATTTCTAAATAATCTTATATACAGGGTGTTCCGTCTAAATCCCACTTTAGAAGTATTGGGAGTTGCAATAATCGTATTTATTTAAAAATTGGTACATTGCCATAAACCATTAAGTCCTCCTAAATGAAAATATTTTCAAGATGGCGGCACTTCCGCTTATACCGGAAGTCGGTCTCAACATTCTTATTTTAAATAAAAAGGTATATTTTTTACTGCGTTTTTAGATTAATTGGGTTATTTTAAGGGAATTTTCATCAGCTTTCCCTATACCCAAATTTAGCCGTTTTTGAAATATTTGGAGTTTTTCAAAAAATTTTGGATTTGCACCTTCCACTTTAAAAACCGGTAATTCTGCTATTTTCTTAAATTTTGAATTCGTTTTTTTTGACGTTTGAAAGAGAAAGTTTAGATCTTTCTTTCGGTGTTTTAAAATTTTGAAAAAAAAAAAAATTAACAAACCATAAAATTTTAAGGTTACTTTTGTAATAATTCAAATACCCATAACTCAATTTTTTCAAATGAAATACCTCAATTTTTATTATACTAAATGGAGGAGAATTTAATTCTGTATCGGTCTGTATTAACATTCCCTATACCTAAATTTAATAATTTTTAAGTTATGGTGACTTTTTGTTCAGACTGCCGAAAATCTGTTATTAGCCACATTCGTTTTCYTATAGTTTGCTATGGAAATAAAAAATGTCYAAATTGTTTCTCAATAAATGTCGTCAGTGACTTATTATTTGACAAATAGTGCCAAAATATGGAGAGTCAAAGCTACTCAAACTTAGATTTAATTAATTTATTTTGTATTTAAGGAGAGTGTAACAAAATTATGATACCGTTCATTAAACAAAAATAAACTTTTCTCACTTGTTAGCTTTAAATAATGATTGCATGGTAGAACCTATCAATAATAATTAAGTTTGCATAACTTTGATTCTCCATATTTTGGCACTATTTGGCAAATAATAAGTCACTGTCGACCTTTACTGAGAAACAATTTTGACATTTTTGATTTCCATAGCAAACTATGTGAAAACGGGTATGGCTAGTAATAAATTTTCTGTAGTATTAAAAAAAAGTCGATAACTTGAAAATTATTAAATTTAGGTATAGGGAATGTTAATACAGATCAATGCACAATTAAATTCTCTTCTATTTAGTAAAATAAAAATTAGGGTATTTCATTTGAAAAAATTGAGTTATGAGTATTTGAATTATTACAAAAGTAACCTTAAAATTTTGGGATATGTTTTTTTTTTTTAATTTGAAAACACCAGAAAAAAGATCTAAGCTTTCTCTTTCAAACGCCAAAAAAAGGAATTTAAAATCTAAAAAAATGGCAGAGTTACCGGTTTTTAAAGTGGAAGGTGCAAATCCAAAAATTTTTGAAAAACTCCAAATATTTCAAAAACGGCTAAATTTAGGAATAGGGAAAGCTGATGAAAACTCCCTTAAAATAACCCGATTAATCCAAAAAATAAAAAATATACCTTTTTATTTAAAATAAGAAAGTTGAGACCGACTTCCGGTATAACCGGAAGTGCCGCCATCTTGATAATATTTTTATTTAGGAGGACTTAATGGTTTATGGCTATGTACCAATTTTCAAATAAATACAATTATTCCAACTCCCAATACTTCTAAAGTGGGGTTTAGACGGAACAGCCTGTATTATGTAGACATAAAAAATGTAAAATGTCAAAAAATAAATGTAAAAATTTCTTGATTCTTGGTATCTTATCTTACTTTAAATTTTTCTCTGAGGCGCGGCTTCTGACACCCTATATATTAACATTCGCCAATTAAAGAATTGAACCCAAGTTTTATAAGTTTCAAACTATAATTGCCATATTTTGTAAAAGTCAATAATTCATTTGTGGTTCAAAATGTTAAGAATTAGGGTATAAAATTTATCAAGAATATCGATGAATTCAAAATGATAAAAAATGCAAGTTTTATATCTTAATCACTATTATAGGAGTATTTTTACATTAAAAATACAATTCAAATTTTCCCCAAAAAAACTGAAAGCGTTGTCGAATTTTATAACACATCTTTTGTTCTTTTCAGTAAAAAAAGTTGTAAGTTTTCTAAAACATTTTGTGCTACATTGAGACTCCCCTCAAACTCTATTTGACTTAATTTATTATGTTTCAAGTTACGAAAACAGGGCTTTCGTTAATTATAACAAATTTTATTATGAGTACATTAAAACTGCTTTCAATTTACAAAACCGCAAAACTAGAGTCAATAGGCACCAAATTACGACCCCCACGTTTTGTAATAGAGTTAAAAGGGCCTCCCACCCACAGGGCGTCACCATTGGCCTAGTCCCTGCCAGGCGCAGCGCCCTATTCCGGCCCTGTTATCTCCCTTCGCATCGGTCCGGAGGTGTGCAGCACGCGCCTAGGCCTAGTGCAGGTCAGTCTCATCCGGACTTCCGCATAGGTCATCGCTCTAACCCTTCAGTGCTCCTCCGGTAAATACTATGCGCAAGAAGCGGCGCCTCCGCCCGTCATGGACGTGATGAACTCCGAGCAGTACCAGCAGCCCACCTACTACAACTTCCTCTACCATCACCACCACGAGCCCCCAGAGACGTACGACTACAACACCTTCGACAGCTACGTCTCCACCACCAGCTCGTTATCCGACGAGAATTTCGGGGGGCAGTGCCACGAGCAGAAGACAGCTCGCGGGAGGAAGCGGAGTGTGCGGGACCGACTGCCGTCCCCGACGGTGATGAAACGCCGCCGGCTGGCGGCGAACGCGCGGGAGCGGCGGCGCATGAACGGCTTGAATGAGGCCTTCGACCGCCTGAGACAGGTCATCCCCAGTCTGGACGCCGACCACAAACTGAGCAAGTTTGAGACGCTGCAGATGGCTCAGACCTACATCGCCGCCTTGCGGGAGCTCCTCGAGAGGGACGCCCAAAGATGAGCCAAAGAAAAGTGTAGAATCTAGTCCAGTGCCTTGCAGAACCGTTGTTTTTAGGTAGGGCGCCCAAAATTTTTAGTGGGGCTAAACCAATCCTCAAACATTTTTTAAATGCTATATTTTGACATTATACACGGTGATTCAGCTTAAATGACCCATGAGACTCCTCTTGGCAGACAACCTATAATACACAAAGCAATTATTCCTTGATTCATATTCCAATTTTGAAAGTTTCATGAATCGAAAAATATCGTTCTTTGATTCTCGATATTTTGAAAATTTAATTTTGAATCAAGGAATAAGTGCATAATGTATTATGTGTTGTCTGCCACGAGGGGTCAGGTGGGTCATTTAAGCTGAATCATAGTGACATTTATAACGTCATTTCTTTTTGAATCGTGACGTCATTTTTATTTTTTTAACAACTGACATTTTTGTTCACTGTTTTAAATAGCACACATTTTGTAAAAAGAAAAAAAAATGCAATTTTACATATTGACAATTAAATACAAAAGGTTTTATCTTTTTGTTCTTGCCTTATTTTATAAGGGGCAATCATTTTTGGTATATTTTTTTAAACAAAAACACCTAAACACAAAAAATGAAGCAAGAACTAGAAGATAAAGCTCTTTGTACCGGGTGCGGCATCCGTTACGCCCAGAAAGAAAATCCCCACTTCTAATTAAACAAAATTGTTGAATTTTTTCGCACTTACCTGGGCATTAATAAGGTACATTCTCTAATTTTTTGGTAATTTTTCATTTACAAACAAAGCCAAAAAAAAATAAAAAGTAATTTTCTCCCAAAAAATTTGATTCTAATTTTTATACTGACCTACATAGATTCACTTCCTACAACTGTTTACAAAATCAGAAAAAAAAATAGCAATTAAAATTTAAATTTAATTTTGAAAATCAATTTTATTTATGACCTGCAATTGGGGTGAGATTCTAAGGTTTACAACAAAAAGACCATTTAAAGTGGTAAATGCTTCTTTTGTTGGCAAATTATGCCATTTTGTCATAAATCACGGGTCTGGTTTGTGTTTAAATAAAAAAATAAAAAACTTGGATAACCAAGTCAAAATTTGAAATTGTGATATCAAAGTTTGATGCGCTAACAGGTACAGATTTATTTAGTGTAAAAACTTTATAAGTAAATTAACAGAAAGTATTCATAAAACACACAAAACTGTTACGGACTCATTTATTATCAAAAAAAAATAGAAAAATTCTCAAATTATTGTCAATTTTAATAAATTAGAAGTCGCGATTTATAACCGATGCCGCACCCGGTATAAAACTTTCTATAACTTTTTTAGGTTCTTTTTTCTTCTCTTTTGCATTTTTTTTCTTTATTTTTTTTAAATTTATTATTTTTACCAAAAAGATAACGATGTGTACTAGCTAAAACAGTAATAAAAAAATTAAAATGACCTCATTACTCGAAAACGAATGACGTCATATGTGTCACTATATTGTCAATTTTTTTTTTTTGAAAAATGACAACGAATTTTGGGCGTTATTTTAGCCCTACTTGGCCCCCACTAGTTACGGGCCTAGTGCCTTGTGAAGTGATCTCTAGACGATTGTATTTTTGTAGAATTTTTATATTAATAAAAGGAAGGAATCTCGCACCTGTCCCATTAATTTAACAACTGTATTATTAAATTTTCTCTATCTCCCCGATCTAAATTTGATTGAAATTTAAATTTTACGAGTGTGTTTTATTATTTTTTGTGAGACGAGGGGAATTTGGCGCGTTTTCGTATTGGTTTCGCCAACGGCGATCAATTTGTTGCTGATGAGGTGATTTTAACGACTTCATTATATTAATTGGGTTCTTGTAAAGCTGCAATTTGAATAGGAATATAGTGAGTTAATGACGAAAATTTATGGGTTTATTGCTGTATTATCGAAGGTGATTGTGATGAGTATATGACGGCTATTTATTAACTGACTTCTTGTTTTTGTCGTTTGACATCTATGAATATTAATGTGAGTGGAAGGCAAATAACACTCAAGTTTCGCGAAATACAACAATCCGAAAACCGACTTCCGGATGTCAAGAAAACGAAAAACTGAAGGTAAGGCAAATATTTCAGTCGAAAAATCAGATCTGAACAATTTTTTCCTCAAATAGTTCAAAATTTTACGGTTTTTTGCTAGCACACAATTTTTTCATGTTTGTCACCGAAAATTCGCAAAATTGGCTAGTTTATTGAAAGCAATTTCGTCGAATGGCGTTATCATCAACATTAAAAATATAAAATACACTAGACTTTGAACGCACCCAAACGAGCCTTGTTAAAAACGCAAAATAGAAAACAATGTTGGTTGGTAATTTTTTATTGTCGTTACATAATCAGATTTGAAAACACAAACTTTAAATTAAAAAGAAATTTAAAAAATATATTAAAGGTAAAAGGTAAGGCAAAATATTTCAGTCTAAAAATCAGATCTGAAACAATTTTATTTGTTTTTTACCCACAGATAGTCCAAAATTTTTCAGTTTGGAAAATTTTTAGCGGGCTTGAATTTTGGCTGCGAGATTAAATATTTCTTATTATTATCAAAACTGGATTTTTCTCAATTAATACATTTTTATCGCAATGTCCACCTAAACTTTTACATGATTTTCTATGATATTAAAAATTCGGGATTACTGAAAAAAGTTTAAAATTTTGGCTTTAAAATTGAGAACTATGACCAGAAATAAAATACAAATACGAATTGTGATTCTTCAGTCGATTTTATGTGCGATATGATCAAATTCCGGAATGTTTCGGGTGCTAAAATTACGCAAAACTATTTTCAAACAAACTTCTGGCCTTTGCTCTTAAAATTAATCAGTTTTTTATGTTATAGCAAAAATAAAAATAATAATATGTAGTTCATTAAAACACAAGTCGCAGGCAGAGTTTGAAATTCCGAAACAAAATCTCTACAAATGTCAATAAAACCAGAAAACTAAAAACTGAAAATAAGGCAAAATATTTCAGTCAAAAACCAGATCTGAAACAACTTTTAAGCCCTTCTTTTTTCTTAAAAATTTTGGTGAGTGGGGCCGCAAATGGTTTCACCTTTTCACATAATTTTGCATATTTGTCACCACATAGCTCAAAATTTTTCAATTTTGCAATTTTTTTTTAATGTTTTGGCACCAAGCTTGAATTTTGACTGCGTAATTAGATATTTTTGATTTACAAAACTTGATTTTTTCCAATTACTATACTTTGTCACAATGCTAAGTCAAAGACATAATCAAAATTCCTATATAATTTTCTAGAAGTATTAATTACTAAAATTACTTATTACTAAAATGACGTTTAAAATTTTGGCTTTAAAATTGGGAACTGTGACTAGAAAGAAAATAAAATTACGAATTACAGAAAGTGTATCAGAACTCGCGCCCCAGAGAAAAAAATCAAGTAAGATAAGATACCAGGAACACAGAAAAAATGAAAAAAAATTCTAGCTGTAAAAAAAATTGATTTGTACTTTTTGTCATTTGACATTTTATGTCTATTTGTATTATGTTTTTTTTATAATTATCTAGTAAAGATACAAAAATTTTGCCAATAAAAGCCATAAATAACAGCCTTTTATGCTGTTTTAAAAGAAAAGATGATTTTTGGTCAGTTGCTGCAAAATTCACTTGAATTTTTTCATGTTTGTCACAAAAAATTCATGTAAATTGGCTAGTTTATTAAAAACAATTTACGTCGAATGGCATTATCACCAACCTTAAAAACATAAAATGCACTAGACTTTTACACACCCAAACGAGCCTTGATAAAAACGCAAAATAGAAAACAATGTAATTTCGTAATTTTTTGTTGTCGTTGAATAATCAGATTTAAAACGCAAACTTTAAATTAAAAAGAAATTTTTGATAAAATATTGAAGGTAAAATAATAAATATCTACAAAATAAACCACTTTCTTCGCATGTAGGTAGGTGACCAACAATACACCAAATAAATTATGTTTTTTGGTACTACAATTAATTATTTCTTTATTGTTTCTAATTTTTAATTCGATTAATAAAAATATTCCAAAACAAGTAATTTACCAAATTATCTCTAAAAATGTTAAAACACTGAGCAAAAAAATTAACAAAACAATTTTAATTATCATTGCGCAGTTACAAGTAATTATCACCGGCAAAAACACCAAAACATTGCAATTAAAATTCAAATGCATAGAACTCCGTCACAACAAAACAATAGTTCACCGACCACAATAATTCTTATTGTAAAACCAATAATCCGTTCAAAACAAAACTACCATTAGCATTTTTGCAAAATAAAATCCAAAATGCGTATTAACTACCTCTATAAAAAAATTCAATGTCAAAAATAGCATGTGTTAGAAAAATGAATATTCATAAATGCTGCCGACACAACAAAACAGGTCGACGACCAATTGAATCTTTAATTTTTCTTTTTACATAAATAAAATCCAAAATGCAAAATTTCGCAAAACGGCGCAAAATACTGTCATTGATCTGACCTTAATTTTTATAAGTGAACAAAAATAAAGGATTTGTGACGCAAGAAAGTAAAAAATGCAAAAAAATACAAATTTATTAAAAAATGAGCCATTCCAAACAACAGTAACATAAATAAATATTTGGCACTTAAAAACTAGACAATTTTCCGCAAATGTACTTTAAAGAAAACCAAATCTTCTTCGGAAATATATCTTTGGAGCAATTCTTCCGGTATGGTGATGCTCTTAGCCCAGAACATGTCACTCATCGGGGGGCACTCCTTCGTCAAAATAATCCTCTCGGTGCATTCCGTAGTGCAAATAACCTCCAATTCGTAGCTGTAACAACTCTGTTTAACCCCAAACTGTTGCAAGGAGAATTTAATATCCCCATCGTAGCACAACGCCAATCGAAACATATCATTCCCGAAACAAATCGCAAACGATTTCATCACTTCGCCCTCCCCCAAATCCAAAATGTGCACCTCTCCGGCGACAATCAACCTATCGTGGTGCTTCTCATTCAAATGTTTAAACAAATTCATCACCGGCCCTGTGCTACACTCCAGGAAGCACTGAATCCCCGAGAAGCTGCAATCCAACTCGTGCTCCCGCAACTTCTCACTGGAGCACGCCACGGGGCACCCGGAGTCCCGGAACATGCAGGGGTAGTTGATACACGTGGTGAGTTTCTCCAGCGTGTAGTTGCGCCCCTCCTGGAAGGGGTGTCGACACGTGGGACACTCCTCCATCTGGTCGCGACACCGCGAGCAGAAACTATGCCCCGTGCAGCAAATCTGGATCGGGGGCACCATGTAATTCTTACACACGGGACACTCCAACTCCCGGAGGAAGTTCTCGTCGAAGGGGCACTCCTGGGGCTTCTCCCCGAAGTTCAACTCGCGTTTCGATTTTTTTATTATACCAAAACGGCCCATGATAATCTGGGGGTGCTTTAACAAGGATTTAACAGTGGAGAGCTCCACCACGAGCATTTTTTCGGGGTTTGTTAGGTTCTCCTCGAACCCCACTGCGTCCTCCAAACGCCCCCTGCGCAAAATCAGGGAGTTTTTCCGGTTTTCGTCGAATAACTCCAACTGGTAGCGGTAGGCCTCGCAATCGGCGCTGGTCCCGTTCACCATCACCATGCAGGAGAAGGTCCCCGGGGGGTCACACTTCACCACGACTATCATTAATTGTTTCGCAGTTCGGGTCAGGAAAATGCTATTACCCCGGGTTTCGGTGAAATTCATCTCCGGGAGTTTTTTAATGAGGTCTCCGTGGCAGAACTCGAGGTGCTCATTGAGGCCAGGACCGGACCCCATCCAGCGACACTTCTGCGTGCGGAACACGTCGTCGTTGGCGAAGGGACAGTTCAGCTTCTTGTAAAGACAAGTGTTTTCGTGCTCCTCCACTTCGCCCCATTTCAACTGGGCCTTGCAGCCGTATGTCGCATTCGAACATGGAAAAATCATAAATTTCGCGATGTTCTCGTACAGGGTTTGGCGGGTCCACTTGGAGTCTTCAGACTTGTTGACGAATTTGCAACGTCCACAAATCGACTCGAATTCGTGGTTGTAGATCGGTGGAACTGAGAGGAATTTGTCGCAGAAGAAACATTTCAGGGATTCTTGAGCCGTGTTGCTGGTGCACAAGTTCAACGAGGCCTCCATTTGGCTGCGCAAAATGAGTGAATTGGGAATGGGGGGGTTTATTACCTACCTATTTGAGCCCGAACTCGAAGCCATTTTCGATGAGAATAAAGAATATATTGTTTGCGGGTTATTTAAACATTTGAAAAATTCAGTGTTGCCTACCTGACAAAATCAATTGTTTTCAATTTCATTGTTTGTAAATGCGGAAACTTCGCTCACCTCAACTGGGGGCAATGAAAGGGGCCCTTGATGGATAATCACAACCCTGATTGACAATCCTGCGCACTTGACATAACCTTAATCACGATAATTTAATTTATAATAATTAGATTGGGCATAATTTGGTAAATAAGCTGTGTCACAATGAAAACTTCACCAATTTAAAGACACAGAGGACACAAAAAGCTAAAACTACCGAATTCTACTAATAAAAAAACAATGATAAAAACAGTGCCGGTACCAACTCAACTCCAACAAAAACTCCACATAAAAAAACAAATAATAAAAAAAACGTTTATTTGAAACGTATATTGTTAAACGTTACACATGACACGACTAACTAAGCTAATAGAATTAATTACAAAGTACGAGTAAATGTGAAATTTATTTATCCGCAAAACAATTTCTATGTTGGTATGCGTGTCGTGTTAACCTAATTTTTAGAGCAATTTTTTTCGGCTAATTTCCCATAGAACATGCTATATTTTACAAAACTCGCCCCGAAACGTCTCGGCCTCGGTTATAGGTCCATTTGCGGGCTAAATTTGTGGGTAAGTCGCAATATTCCCCTTTGTGAATTGAGGTTATGTTGACTTTTTTTTCACTTAGCATGAGGAAATAAACGCCGATATTAAGCACAAAATCGAAGATTACTGGCGCGACAGACTGAAAGTCGCCAATTTCGATGAGAATGCCCCGTCCGGGGACAAGTATTACGTGTTGTCAATGTTCCCCTACCCGTCGGGGTCCCTCCACATGGGGCACGTCCGCGTTTACACCATTAGTGACGCAATTGCGCGGTTCCAGCGCATGAACGGCAAAAATGTAAGTTTTGCGTTGTAATAGTACCGAAATAATTTTTTTTAGGTGATTCACCCAATTGGCTGGGACGCGTTTGGGCTCCCGGCCGAAAACGCGGCTATTGAGCGCCAAGTGGCGCCGCGAGACTGGACACGGAGCAACATCTCGCATATGAAAAGCCAACTGCAGCGTTTGAGGTGCAGTTTCGAATGGGGGCGCGAGTTGGCGACTTGCGACTCGTCGTACTACAAGTGGACGCAAGACTTGTTTTTGAAGTTGTACGATTCGGGCCTTGTTTACCAGAAAAGGGCTGTTGTGAACTGGGACCCCGTCGATGAGACTGTCCTCGCCGATGAGCAAGTGGACGAGAACGGGTGCTCCTGGCGCTCGGGGGCCAAAGTCGAGAAAAAACTCTTAAAACAGTGGTTTATTCGAACGACTAGGTTTGCTAAAGACTTGTTAGAGGGGCTTGACGACCCCCTTTTGCAAGACTGGAGGGACGTTATTAAGCTACAAAAGCATTGGATCGGGGACTGCGACGGGGTGAATTTTGATTTTAAAGTTAAAGGGGGCGACGATTTTCTCACTCTATGGACGCCCAAACCCGAAGCGATCAATTCGGTCAAATTCGTAGCCCTTGACTCGAAACACGTTTTAGGGGAAACCCCGGGAGTTTTAATAGACGAGGGAACAAAAAGATTAAATTTGGAGCTGGTACACCCCTTTAGTGGGGCCCCAATTCCGGTTTTTGTGACCAACCAAATTGAATTTTTGCCTTTTACTGATACTTTTGTCGGAATTCCGAGCGTTTGCCCCCAAGCCGCTCAATTCGCGGATAAATTTCAAATCTCGTACGAAAAAACTAATTTGGGTGAAAACGAGCGTTTAAGTTTGCAAAATCAAATTTGCCGCCAAGCGAGTGAATTGGGAGTGGGCGGGTACTGGTCAAGTGCCAAGTTGCGTGATTGGTTGATTTCGCGTCAGAGGTTGTGGGGAACGCCTATTCCTATCGCTCATTGTGACAGTTGTGGTGCTCAACCAATCAGAGAGCTTCCTGTGGAGCTTCCAACAACGTCACTGTCACAAAAAGGCGGGGCTTATTTGAAACAACTCTCTGATTGGGTGGACTGCACTTGTCCTAAATGTAACAAAAAAGCAAAACGCGAAACTGATACTATGGACACATTTGTTGACAGTTCGTGGTATTATCTCAGGTATCTTGATCCGTCAAATTCTCAAAAAATGTTCGATGAAAATAAAGCGAAAAAAATGATGCCCGTTGATTTGTATATCGGAGGCAAGGAACACGCAGTGCTTCATTTATATTACGCGAGGTTTATAAGTCATTTTTTGTACTCGCAAGGTTTGCTCCCTGAACGTGAACCTTTTAAGCGGTTATTGGTCCAGGGGATGGTCATGGGGCGGAGTTACAGAGTCAAGGGGACGGGCCGATATGTCCCCGAAAGTCAAGTCAAAGTGATAGGTGGGTAAGTTAGGAAATGGTGAGTGAGACATGAAAACATTGTCAATTTGAAGATAAGAAGAAAAACAGGGCTGTTGTTGAATCGACTGGGGAGGCTGTGGTCATGGGTTGGGAAAAAATGAGTAAATCAAAACACAACGGAGTGGATCCGGGGGATATGTTCCGGGAGTACGGCAGTGATACCACCCGACTTTTGATTTTGGCGGATGTGGCGCCAACTTCACACCGCAACTGGAACAGCAACAGTGAGTACAGGAATCTGTAATGTTTTTCCAACGCCTTCTTAGCTTTTCCCGGGATACTCAACTGGCAAAAACGCCTCTGGTTGACCATCAGAGACTTCCTCAAACACCGGAAAAGCCCCCCACCACCAATCCCCGACGACCAGTTCAAGGCACACGACGATTACATGTTTGACTCTCGCAATTATTACATCAAGGGGGCGACTTTCAACTATTGCCGGTCGCAGCAGCACAGTGTTGCCATTTCGAAACAACTGGGGCTTACGAACAGTATCAGGGTATTTGAAACGCAGTTTTGTGGTTTTTGTTCTATTATAGGTTGTAGAGGGCGCCACCGGCAATTTTTGCCAAAAGTCTACAATTTGAGAGGGCTTTAGCCGCTCAAATTATTTTATTAGCACCAATGGCGCCACATTTTGCATCGGAATTGTGGAGTGGGTTTGTCTCCGCCCCCGATCGGTTAAACCAATCGGGGGAGATCGATTGGGAAAAACCGGTTCTTGAACAAAGATGGCCGACTCTCGATGACAGATACAACCTTGATTTGGTTTGTAAAGTCAACGGGGTTGAAGTTTGCAACGTTAAAATACCGAAATGTGATTTCGAAAAGTTGGGGGAGGAGGAAGCTATAAAAATTGCGTTGAATCAAAAAGAAGTGAAAGAGATTTTAGGAGAGAAAGAAGTTGAACGTACGGGATATATGTTTGAACCTGATTATGAAGGTGTAGTTAGTATTTTTACAAGATGGGAACGTAAAGAAAAAAGTGTAACTCAGTAATAGTTTATTTAAATAAATTATTTCTCATATTTTTGTTTTTTTTTAACATGTTCGTGGGGGTGGGGGTAGGGGGGTTAAGATGGGAGTAATGGGCGTGTTTTCCCAATATCCCGGGAATCTGTCACCACTTGACATGTTGCACTGCATGCTCAAGGGGGCTTCATGGTACACATCGGTCAATAATTGCACACGCATTTTGTTCCATTTGATCGATTTGTAGTTGTCTGAAATTCCATTGTGGGGCGAAATTTTTTGCCCCTCCCACCTAAAAACAAAATCAACCTAAGATGGCGGTCAATTTAAAGTGGCCATTTATTTTGTTGCAAAGTTGGCAGTCCCTAGTGTATGGGTTATGTCTATATGGCAGCAGAAGTAACTAAATTGTGTCAGTATTCTAACCCGACTTTTTCAGAATTGTCATTTTTTATAGGTATGACCCTAAAAACAATTGGATGTTTTAAGTCGGATTTACACAACTCAATTTTGACAAATTTACACAGGTGGCCACTATGAATTAACCGCGACTTTACGTTAAAGTAAGTAAAATAACTTACTCTTTCATGTAGTTGAAGTAGGTACTCAAAGCCTGGTCACTAATAGCGCTTTTACAAACCTCCAATTGCGTGGAAGGGAAATAATGAATATAATTAACACACATTTCATCCGTAATACTAAACCCCCCAAGTGTGATATTTTCCCGATCTTCTGTATTATAATAACAACGAGTTACCAAAGCATCACCCTAAAAAAAAAAAATCGTTAAACCCGACTTACACTCGATATTTTGTCACCAACCGGTAAAACCTTGACCGGTTTTTTCAGCCTGCGAATTTCCTGAAAATGCGTACTGTAGTGATCATCCCGGTTCAATTCCCTCAGTTCAATCCCATCCCTGATATGCCTTGTATACACCTTAATCCCTGTCAAGTGAGTGTGAAGTTGCGAACCGAAAATCGTGATGCCCTCTGGTGGCAAACTCTAAAAAATTGTCTTGCAACGACCTTAAGAAATAAGAAAAACTCAAGTACCACAGCGGTACATTCGCTGACGCAATATCCGGTCAAAGGAAACGCCTCCTGATTTGGGGGAATCGCCATTTTGTCGGTATACTCCAACCCCAATTCGATAACCCCAGCGTCCATTTTTTTGAGTCGGGAGGAGACGTGAAACCGGATCCCGGAACTGTCCACAAGTCCGGTTCTGTGCTCCGGGTTGTTGTAGTGGACTTCGAGCATGACGTAGGGGCTGAACTCCGGGCCGCCGAGGGGCAGCCCAGCCTCCTGTTTAATCAATTTTCATTTTCATAATTAAATTAAAAACCACGCTGTAATTACCACCATAATTAACTTAGCAACTCTGAAATTAAGTTGGTAACATTTTCTAGCCTATAAACAAACTATTGAAGTTTATATTTGACAGTCATGGTTGCCAAATTCGTGTCATTATTCAATGTTGTCAACTTAATTTTGACGTCGCAGGCCACTTGATCAGAACTTTTACCTCTGGATATGTGAAAGGCGGTGCCCCCATGGCCCACGCCGCCAAGACCCTTTTACACACTTGGGTCTCTTTGGGCCTCTCTTCAGCGAAACAGTTTCCAACATATAGGGGAATTTGTTGGTCAGGGGGCGCCACACAATGAAACACTTCCATGTGGTGCACCAAACCCTCACTGCTACTGGAAATATGGGCTTCATACTAGAAAAAAATCAATTGGTACATTTTGGTACCCCTCATGGGAACCCTACCCTGTACACATGGTGTTTCCTCAAAAACTCCTCACCCAGCTTGTGGACATGGCACCAATAAGTCGTTTCCTGTTCCGGAACCTTCACTTCATGGGCAAAAACATCCAAAGTTTGGACATAGTTAGGCAAAATCGCCTCCACGTTGGTATTTTTCAACAGTTGCACCCTCACCATCCCTTGTTCCTTCTCAGGGGAGCTTATATTCAACCCTGCGAGTTTATACAAAGGGTTAGCACCCCGTGCCCACACAATATGGGTTGTCCCATCCTCGATGACGTAATCCTCGAAATCGCAAGTGTCGAATTTCCTCCGAAACGCGAATTTAGTGACATTTTTGCTGCGTCGAATTTTGAAATTTTGACAGTCTTGGTGCTTGTCCCCCCGGATGATTCCTCTAGTATCAGCCCACGTGTCCTCAAACTGGATTTTCTTTTTTATGTTTTTCCACAAAAGGCAATAATCGGCCGGGAAATGCCCCCCTCGGTCGGAAAAACCGATCGCGAACCACCCGAAATCCCCCGGGATGTGGACCTCGAAAGTGACGCTTTGGCTGGGATAATCCAGGAGCCAGTTGAGGGAAATTGAACCATCGCCGTTCAAAGGGACGTGGAAAATTTCGCCGGATTGGGAACCCCTCAAACACGTCAGGATTATAGCGACAAGAAAGCGCATCTTTCACTAGGAGGAAATTCTTCGGATTTTCTCTTATAAGAGGAGGCGCGCGCACGCGCCTTTTGGCAGGGAAATTTCAAAACTCGTTACAAGTTTATCTCATTTGGGGTGAAGCGTCGGGAAATTGTTGCGTTTTTAATTGGGAAAATCGATAAGTGATTAGTGATTAGTGAAGGAATAATAATAAAAATGCTGGAGGATGGTGTGGGGTCGCAGGAATGCAATTTAGACGACGTCACGCGATGTTCTTATCATTCAATACGTACAAGAATTCAGCCGATGGAATAAATTCGAGTTCCTCAAATTCTTCGCGATATAAAATTGGACGCTGAATAATTATCGTAAATATTCAGCACTTGGTTTCATGATTTTTTTATTAAATTGCTTTTGTAACGTTCTGAAGAAACGTAAGTGTTTTTTCACGTTTCTTACAAAAGAAGTCATTTACTTATTCGTTATTGGAGTTTGGAACAAGTTTTAAAAAACTTTGATCAAATCAAATTTTATTTGTTTTAGAAATGCTCCTATAAAAGCTATCTTTGTTAAAATTGCCAATAGGTGACTACAATAAACTTTATTTTTGTTACATTGGTATTTGATTTATTTTGTTAGTGATAAAAGAGTCACTAAGTTTTAAAAAATATGAACTTTTTGGGTTTTTGAAGGTAGTGAAATCGTAAAAATAGTCGATTTACCTTAAGTCGTAAAAACGCTAGAAATATGGTTTTCTAGACGTAAAATTACGCGCACATGTTAAATAAAATACTCTACGATGCATAGTTTTTGAGATATTGAGTAATAAAGTTAAGAATAAGGCTAAAGGTATAAGCACTATATCCGATTTTGACCAAAAATCAACATTTTTTMATTCTTATGAAAAACTAGTACTATATGTAAAATTAACCGCAGAACACGCCTGAACAAACTCTTTTCACCTAGGACTCATAGTTTTTGAGATATGAATTTTTTTTTAACAAAATTAAAAATGGCTCTGTACCCGGAYCCATAACCCGGAGCGACTTCCGGTTTGCGCCAGTAAATAGATAATTTCAAGCTAATTTTAATGGTTTTTAGCTCTTTGGTCTAAGTCCTATAGTTTCGTAGAAAAACGCGTTTAAAGTTTTACAATTTTGTCAATTTTCACTTTTTGAACGGCGATTATGGCCAAACTATTAGACTTAGAGCAATCAGTCCAACTCCATCGTAATCAGCGTAAGAAAAGCTATCGACTGAGGCCACAGCCAAGTTGATATCTCGCAAAAAAAATTTGAATTTTTAAACGCCGATTACGGCGAAACTAAAGGAGATAGCGCAAAATAATTGGGAAATTCGTAATTAGCGCGTCAAAATTTATCGGATAAGATAGGTTTAAATTGAATCTGAGACATGTTCAAAAACACTAGATTTTGAGGGGGGGGTGTTAACAAATTTTTACTTTTTTTTATTTTGTAAATTGCGGCAAAACTGTGTCTCAATGATATAATATTTTGACCTAAACCTATGTAAAATGTTCCGGGGAATCGATTGGCGTCAAGAAAACTGCAAAATTCGTGGTAGTTTTGAAGTTAAAGTCGGATTTAAATTTTCGATATTTTTGACTTTATCAGAAATTTTCTCGATAACTAGTCATCGTAGAGCATTGAACTTTCTAATATATAATAGAAAATTCAATTTTCTATCCAACGGTACCAAATATAAGAGGTTATCTCCAATAAGTCCGAAGTTATTGCCATTAGACCGCTCCGGGTGCCAAAAATCGGCCAAAATTTCGACAAAAATCAAAAAAAAAATTAACTTTAAAATTGATCCATTTAACGTTTTTTTACATTTCTAAAGGTCTTAAAGACTCAAATAAATGCATAAAACGCCATTGGGTCAAGTTTAAGAAAATTTGAATTTTTTGAGTTTTTGAAGGTGAGAGGTAGTAAAATCGTAAAAATAGTCAATTTATCGTACCTTAAGTTGTAAAAACGCTTGAAATATGGTTTTCTAGACGTAAAATTACGATGCAACAAGTTAAAATACTCTACGATGCATAGTTTTTGAGATATTGAGTAATAAAMTTAAGAATAAGACTAAAAGTATAAGCACTAAAAATCGACCAAAATTTCAACAAAAATCAAAAAAATTTTCAACTTTAAACTTCTAATTTCAAAACCGTAAAATTTCTTAGATTTTAAAAACTTTTTGTGACTATTATTATTTTCACACAAGTAATATTTATAATGTATCTTTATTGTAGTTTTCTATTTTCAAAGTTAAGGTCTAAATACTACAGTTTATTAATGTTTAAATGAATGAAATATGGATAAAATCTATTTATTATTATTTTTAAATTTTTTAACAAAAATAACACTTGCCGAAACACGCAACATAACTACATTGTACTATAAAATAATACACCACGCCCCTGTGGCCTAATGGATAAGGCATCGGCCTCCTAAGCCGGGGACTGTGGGTTCGAGTCCCACCAGGGGTAATCTTTTTTTTTCATTTTTTTATCAAATATTTCTACTACAAACCAAAACTTCCACGAAAATAATTTATTATTCTATATTTACTTTAATTAAACCGCTTGTCCCGACCCCGAGACCTTGAGTTTGTCCAATCCGGGCAAACTCCCGGAACTCCTCACCGGCCCGAAGTACTTATGCCCCAACGCCTCCTGCGCCGAACACCTCTCCATATGGTCATAACAAAGCAACGAATCCAAAAAATCAAACGCATTGTGATTCACCAGATGCTCATTCTCCGTGTTGACGAACCTCTGCCAGGGCTTCTTCGAGTGGATCCCCAGCATCTCCTGCATGCTGCTCTCCAGCACAATATTGTACTTGTTCAAATAACTGTAAAACTTGCTCGTGCCCAAAACCTTGACAATGCAATAGAGCTGATTCCGGTTATCGAAGCCCTGGAAGAAGGGCTCCTTCCGGAAGATCATCGCGGCGAAGACGCACCCCAGCGACCACAAGTCAAGCGAGTAGTCGTAATAGCCGTACTCGACGAGCAACTCCGGGCCCTTGTAATGGCGGGAAGCCACCCGGACGTTGTAGCGCTCTCCGGGCCGGTAGAACTCCGCCAAGCCGAAGTCTATCAACCGGATTTTCCGGGTTTTCCGGTCGATTATGATGTTGTGCGGCTTCACGTCGCGGTGCATTATGCCCTTACTGTGGCAGTAATCGAGGGCTTTCAGGATTTCATAAATGTAGTAGCGAATGTCAGAATCGCCCAATTTTAAATAAACCTCTTTGAAATCTTCGTTGTTTGACGGGGACTCGAAAATAAGGGCATGCAGGCCGGTCGACGGGACGGACACCACGGCATAGAGACTCACTATGTTGGGGCCGTTTCGCAAATGCTCCAAAATTTTAATTTCGCGCTTGATTTTGGGCTTTTTAATCGGTTTCAGTAATTTCACCACAACCGAGTCGTTGTTGCCATCGTGCACCCCCTCGAACACTAAACTGTACTTCCCCTGACCGATTTTGCGAATCAGACTGTAGTTGTTGATGTCGTCAGTCGGGGGGTTGTAGTTGTCGTACTCGAAGTAGGAAGAAGGCTTGTTCGAAAACACATCGGAATAAACACGCGATGTTGTTACAACAACACTACGACTAAATTCACGTTAATTTAATTGAAACTAAGCCAAAAATACTTACGGAGTATCGTCCAAATCCATTTTTGGGGCAAATTTTTTCAAATCTTTTTTTGACATTTAAAATTTAAACGGGAAGCGCGAATAAGTCACTAAATCACAAACAAAAAATCCCCAACTAAATAAAATAAACCTTGATCAAAGACTTTTATTTAACACTGAGACACCTATTAAGACCGAATTTGTTATCAATGAGTCATTTTCAAGTAAATTGTGTTAAAAATACTCGTTAAAGTCAATTTTTTTGATTTAAAACTTAAGCGGGTTTGGGGGAATAAGCCATTGAATCACAAATCAAAAATCCCTAAATAAATAAACTTTTATTAAAAAGTTTTATTCAAATTAAGACAGTTATTAAGAAAGAAATTGTAAGTAGTGAGTAATTTCCGAGTGTAATTTTCTAGTTTTAGTCATTAACGATTTTCATGTGTGACGTAACCTCAAAAAACATCGAAATGTCAACCAGTGAAAACATTGCGATAAAAACGGAATCCGACGACTCCAATGACTCAAAACCCGTTTTTAGGCGTAAAAAACGCAAACAGCTCCGCCAGAGGAACCTCTCGGAGAATAGCGACCCGGAGAATGAGGACTTGGAGGAGGTTAGGTAAGGCCCCCAGTGACTCGAGACTCGCCCTAACCCGATTTGTAGCACTAAACTGGAAGAAATGAAAGAACTGCAGAACCTCCGTAAGCGCCCCCATGGCGTCAACGCCTTGGGCCTGGCCCTTGGCACCAAAATCACCGTCGAAGACGAATGCATTGCGGTAGGTACCCCCAGCCCCCATAACCCCACCAAATCATTCAAACCTTGCAGAAGGACCCTTTCAAGGTGAAATCCGGGGGCATGGTCAACATGCAAGCCCTCAAAAGCGGCAAAGTGAAGCAAGTTGACGACGCCTACGACACGGGCATAGGGACCCAATTTTCGGTCGAAACCAACAAACGGGACGAAGACGAGGAAATGATGAGGTTCATCGAGGAGGAGTTGTCGAAGAAGAAGCGCAAAGTGGAGCCCCCTGAGCAGGCGCAAGCCGAGAACAAGTCCGCATACACGAGCCCCGAGGAGGCGGCTTTGAGGGCCGTTCCCGACCATTTGCGGGAGTCGTCGACGAAGAGGTCGGAGGAGATGTTGTCCAATCAGATGTTGAATGGGATCCCGGAAGTGGACTTGGGGATCGAGGCCAAAATCAAGAACATTGAAGCCACGGAAGAGGCCAAGTTGAGGCTGCTGTGGGAGAAGCAGAACAAGAAGGATGGGCCTTCGCCCTTCGTGCCCACGAATATGGCCGTCAATTTCGTGCAACACAATAGATGTGAGTCGAGAAATTGGGGGAAATTTCGGTTTGTTACTTTTTTGCAGTTAATATAGATGGCGAAGGCTTGAAGAAGAAAACCAAGGATGAGAAAGTGGAAGAGAAGCCGAAGAAGAAGGATGAAAGGGCCACCGATGATTATCACTACGAAAAGTTCAAAAAACAGTTTAGGAGATATTAAACTAGTTCTTTTTTTATTTGTAAATACCATGCGATCAAAAAAAAAAATTAATTAGAGTAGGCGTCGATTAAATTCTACAGTTGGCAACACATTGGGGCTGAAAAATTTCCATACAAACTGAGAGTGAAAATGACCATTCACCGTTTTCGTCTTGTACAGCATTTTTGTAATAATTTGCAACAATAAAAATTTTCTACTCTGAAGTGAACATTATTTCACTCAAAATGAATAAAACGCAAACTTATCAAAGTTTCCGCTGACATTAAAGAAATCAAGATTGCCATCTAATCACTATCTACTCCAATTATTTTTTTTGATCACACGGTCTATTATTTAATGAAGTTCAAAAACAATTTAAGAGATATTAAAGTAATTTTTTTTTATTTATAAATACAGTATTTAATCACAAGTAGAAAGTAGCACTACCTACTAGTTTCTCCCACTTTCCTTTACTTAACAAGGTCACAAATTTTACCGATTCATCCTCTTTGTTTACACAATTGTAATGATTAGATTGTGTCTTTAATTGGTGCAAAAATTTGTTTTTATTGACATATTGTTTGTTGTATTAAGGTAAGTAATACTCCAAGGTTCAAAGTCCAATAATTACTATCTTATCTCCGTTTCTGTTGTATTATTTACAATCCAGCATAAAATAATAAACTGAAGAGTCATTCGCGCTTCGTTGCAACAAAAATACGCACCCAAAATGGCCCTAAATGTGCAAAAGGTAAAAAAATTAAATCACGAATTTATAATTTCAAAAGTTTATATAGATTTTCAGTCGGGCGTTTTCTGTGACCACCGTTCGAAAATCGGGCTTCAATTTTGGTAATTTTGGTGTTTTTTTGGTGGCACACTGTGTGATTTTCCCCGATTTTAGAGCTCAATGAAACTCAGAGAGAAATGCAAGCCATGGCTCGGAAGTTCGCTCGCGAGGAGATTGCCCCCCAAGCAGCCCACTTCGACAGAACCGGGGAATACCCCATTGAGATTTTGAAGAAGGCCTGGTCTGTGGGCCTGATGAATTCGCACATTCCGGAGCATTGCGGCGGTTTGAATCAGGGGGTTTTCGACGCGTGCTTAATGGGGGAAGAACTGGCTTGGGGCTGTTCGGGGATCGGGACAGTTATTGGGTCCTCACATCTTGGGGTAATTTCACTATAAGGTGCATTGAAAGGAATCATTTTAAGGTGGCAACCATGCAAAAATTCAAACAATCCTAACCTCAATTTTCCCCACAAATTATTTTTTCAAATAAATGTGTAATTAAAATTAATTACGTAATCAACATAGGGTAGCAAACATAAAGAATTTTGTTGTTATTATTATGTGATTATATTTGTTCTGAATGACATTAATGACACTTTTTGTGTGAATCAGCCTTTAAGTTAAAGATGCATTTAGACTTTTCATCACATTTGCCATTTTGAGTCAAATAATTTAAGTTTAAAAAAATGTTTTTAGCAAGTTCCTGTGATTCTTAATGGGACGAAAGAGCAACAGAAGAAGTATTTGGGGCGCTTGATCGAAGAGCCCTTAGTTGCGGTAATTAATTAATTAGTTTTATTTAATTTTAATTGATTTTTGAAGGCTTATGCCGTGACTGAGCCTGGTTGTGGCTCTGACGTAAATGGGGTTAAAACCCGGGCTGAAAAAAAGGGCGACGAGTACGTAATAAACGGTCAAAAAATGTGGATCACAAATGGGGGCGTCGCCAATTGGTACTTTGTCCTCGCTCGCACGAACCCCGACCCGAAAGCCCCCGCTGGTAAAGCCTTCACAGGCTTTATCGTCGACAGAGACACCCCCGGAGTGACCCCCGGCCGCAAGGAAATGAACATGGGGCAGCGAGCCTCCGACACTCGCGGAGTCACCTTCGAGGAAGTTCGCGTCCCGAAGGAGAACGTCCTTTTGGGCGAAGGCGCCGGGTTTAAGATCGCCATGGGGGCGTTTGACACCACGCGTCCGCCGGTGGCGTGTGGGGCTACAGGTGTGGCGCAGAGGTGTCTCGATGAAGCGACGAAGTACGCCCTCGAGCGCAAGACTTTCGGGGTCCCCATTGCCTACCACCAGGCGGTGGCGTTCATGTTGGCCGATATGGCGATTGGGGTGGAGACGGCGAGGCTGGCGTGGATGAGGGCGGCGTGGGAGGCCGACCACGGGATTAGGAACAGTTATTCGGCCTCGATTGCGAAGGCCTACGCCGGGGATGTGGCCAATAAGTGTGCTTCAGACGCCGTGCAGATTTTCGGGGGCGCGGGGTTCAATAGCGAGTATCCGGTGGAGAAGCTGATGAGGGATGCGAAGATTTATCAGATTTATGAGGGGACCACGCAAATACAGAAGTTGGTCATCTCGAGGAGTGTCCTCGAGGCGAGCAAAAGAATGGCTTAGGTTTTGAGGAAAAAAAATACAAAATTTTTGATATGTAATCGTTTAATAAAGTTTTTTTTAAGAATTGTGGCTTTTCTTTTCATACATATTCATACATATTAAAAAATAGTATATTATGTTATTAGGAGTGATAGTGATAGTTTATGTGATGCACATTTATTTTGGCGAACGTAGTGAAAACTGAACACATTATCTCCGAAGAACATATACTATTTTATCCGCAAACGTATTCAGATCGAGAGTAAAAAGTAACACTATAACTAGCAAATAAATGAACAAAATAATCAGGACGCTTTGCAAGTAATGAAATCTTAACAACGCTTATAAACAACCATCACGTGTCAGTATCGAAATTTGGGTTGAGATTTTTGAATGTGTTTATTTAACTAGTGCAGTTAGTAGTAAAATGTTGAATGCTGATAATCTACAATGTACCTTCCCAGAAATTGCAAAAACATTGGTTAATGTCATGATAAAAGTAAAAAACAGAGTTTTTACTTCATGCCTGAAAGGTAAAACTTTTACTTGTGTGTTATGTAGTCATAAAAGGGTCACTTTTGTGACGTTTGAGTATAAATTACTATTTTTAAACCCGCTTAGTACTTTTGGTGTTTTTTAATTTTTGTTTTTGTGAATAAAAGACTTATCTTCAGGGTAAATTGTGAAAATACGAAAATTTTAAATATTTGTAGAAAAATTGAGAGTTGTGAGATTTAACAAATGTTCAAAAAATCACTTTACAATTTGTTTTAGTCTGATTATTATTGGTGAAGAAAAAAATTCTGACGTTTTATTATAAAAAAAATAAGTTTTGTTCAATACGTAATTTATTACAAAAATTAAAACTCGAAATATTGACTTTGGTATTCCAGAACATAAATGTTTGTTTTTGAAATATTTTAAATCAACTTTTAGAGATTCATTAATAAATTAGTACAGAGTTGAAATTTCGAATTAAAACGTTTTTAAAAAAATAAAGAATTTTGAAACTTTTTTTACCTTTTTTTATTAAGAATAAGACAGTTGGGTAGCTGAAGGGCCAGATTAGCGAAAATACGTCATAAGTTAAGGTTTTTTGTCGAAAATCACAAAAAAGCCGCAATTTTGAAAATTGGAATTTTAAAGAAATTTTTATTCTTTTTAAACCTACTTACTGCGAGTAGGTACTTTTTAGGGGTAATTTTTGTTTTTGAAAAGCATTTGGTTGGAGAGGAAATTGGAAAAACAAGAAGAGTTTCTTTTATATCGAATTTTCTTTCGTTTAGTGCAGAAAAAAAATTAGCATTTTTTTATGCATGTTTTTGAGAAACAACATCCCCTTAAATCGACTTTTTTATTGTCAAAGGAAACTAAAAATTGTTTTTTTTTGTCTGAATTAGGCTATTTTGGAACCAGAAAATTCTTGAAATCAAGATCTTTTTTGTTTTTGAGTTTGAACACAAAAAAAAATTAATTTGAAGTTTGCGTTTTTCTGGCTTCGGAAGAATTACAGAACAGAAATGTTTGTAATTTCACAATATTTAAAATTAACTTTTAGCAATTAATTAATTCATAAAAAAAGTTAAATTTTAATTTTAAACGAGTTTTTTTATGTTATTATGATTTTAATAAGGTTTTAAAAAGAACCTTGGCGTTTCATTTTAATTAATTTTTGGTATTAAAAAAAAAGAGAACAATTCGTTTTCTGGATGGTCCGGTTAGCTAAAATAAACGATTTATAAATTATTTTGCCGAAAATCACAAAACATTTGGGCGCAATTTTATAATTTTAAATAAAAAAAACAATGTGTTCAAACGCATCCACCACTTTTTCAATTTTCATTTTCTATCAATTAGTGAAAAAAAAATATCCGAGCGAAGAAGCATGTTTTTGAGCCAGAAATTCACTTAAACCAACGAATTTTGCTAAAATTAAAATTAGCCAAAAAAATCGTTATTTGTAATCGAAATTACGTTAAACTCTTAAATCGATACATTTTTTTTGATTATTTGTGTTTTATCACAAATGGAATTTTCGGCTACTAAAACGCCACTTATTTTACTCCTAATAATATAATATACTATTTTGGTATGCAGCCGAGACTAATTTATTTAGTTTACTTGTAACAAATAATACAATAAGTGCTAACATCATTGTTTAGTTTTTCAGGTCAAAGTTTTGCATAGTATAATTTCTGTCACAGTTCAAATTCCGAAAAAAGAGCACTGTAATTGACTTTTATCTTATCAGTTGTAAAATTCAAGTACAATAAGTGTTTATACACATATACAACACATTTTGTGTTTTATTGCTAGTTATTTCTATCACCAAATCTGAAAAAAATGACCTCCGTTTTACCGAAAATTTTCAGAGTTGCAACTAAACCCCCCAGACGAGCTTTCAGCGTTTCAGTGAGCCGCCCAAACGGTTACAATTTCGGTAAGTTTCCATTTGAAATATTCCGAAAACGACCAGATTTTTTCAGAATTGACCGAAACTCAGAAAGAGTTTCAAGCAGTAGCTCGAAAATTCACCAGAGAAGAAATAATTCCGGTGGCGGCCCACCATGACCGGAATAATGAGTATCCGAAGGAGATTATCAAGAAGGCTTGGTCTTTGGGGCTCATGAACGGCCACATTCCCGAATATTTAGGTGTGTTAATTAATTGTGTTAATTACTTGATTTATTATTTTTTAATAGGGGGGCTCCAACAAGGCGTTTTTGATATTTGTTTAACCGGTGAAGAGTTGGCTTATGGATGCACCGGGATTTTCACAGCAGTCGACTCCTCCAATCTTGGGGTAAACACTCCCTGACACTCCCACTTAATCCCTTTCATTTTACAGCAAATCCCTGTTGTCATCGCCGGCACCAAAGACCAACAAAAGAAGTATTTGGGGCGCTTCCTCGACGAGTCTTTAGTTGCCGTAATCCCATTTAATTTTTTTTAATAAAAAAAAATGGTAAAATTTTTTTTTAGGCCTACGCCGTGACCGAACCTGGGGCTGGCTCCGACGTCAGTGGAATCAAAACCAAAGCTGTTAAAAAAGGCTCAGAATGGGTCCTCAACGGTCAAAAAATGTGGATAACAAACGGGGGCGTCGCCAACTGGTATTTCGTCCTTGCTCGCACTAACCCCGACCCCAAATGCCCCCCTGGTAAGGCCTTCACCGGCTTCATCGTCGAGCGGGACTTCCCCGGGGTCACCCCAGGCCGCAAGGAGCTCAACATGGGGCAACGGGCCTCCGACACGCGCGGAATCACCTTCGAGGATGTTGTAATCCCCCAGGAGAACGTCCTCCTCGGCGAAGGCGCCGGTTTTAAGATCGCAATGAGTACTTTCGACAAGACGCGCCCCTCGGTGGCTTGTGGGGCCACAGGCTTGGCTCAAAGGTGCCTCGACGAGGCTACGAAATACTCCCTCGAGCGCAAGACTTTCGGGGTCCCCATTGCCCACCACCAGGCGGTGGCTTTCATGTTGGCTGACATGGCCACAGGGGTGGAAACGGCGAGGTTGGCCTGGATGAAAGCGGCCTGGGAGGCAGACCAGGGGGTTAGGAACAGTCTCTCGGCGGCTATTGCCAAGGCCCACGCCAGCGAAGTGGCCAATAGAAACGCCTCCGATGCTGTGCAGGTCTTCGGGGGCGCAGGGTTCAATAGTGAGTACCCCGTGGAGAAGCTGATGAGGGATGCGAAGATTTTCCAGATTTACGAAGGGACGACTCAAATCCAGAAAATTGTGATTTCGAGAAATGTGTTGAGCCAAAACGGGAAATAAAAATGAAGTATTTATTGTGTTTTATTCAAAAGGGTTGATTGTCGTTTCAATAAGATAAATGGGTATCAAAAGTTGATGGCTGTAATAAGGGAGTAAAAGCAGGTAAGCACTTGAGGATTATGACGTCATAAAACATTATTTGAGAAAGTTAAATGTAAGATGGCCGAAATATGGTTTCCTGTGGTGGCAAGGATACATTGTGTTTATTTTCATTTAAAAATATTTACATGTGAAATTATTAAATGCTGTATTACTGGTTGCATACAATACAACTTTACCTAAATAAATTTATAGAAAATCGTTGTTTATAATTTATATTGCTATTACTTCGAATCTTTATAAATCTGAAATTAGTTTGCTTTTGAATAACAAAAATGTTCTAAATTTATTAATAAAAAAAAATGAAAATTATGATAAAAAATCTATTGGCAACACTGAATCATTTCAATTTGTTATATCAAATTGTTTTACGTGACGGCTAAGTCAGCGGTCACCCGTCGCAATTGAATGACAGTTGCTTATAAAAGTTTGACGTTTGAATTTGAGAGTCAAGGTTGCCAAACTAGAACTTTAAATTCGATGCAAACTTGAGGAAGAATAAATTGAATTGAATAAATGTCAAAAATAAATTTGAAATAATGTGTGAATCTGATTTAAAATCGTTGAAATGGACCAGTGTACTCCCTTAAAAGTAAGAGAAACTGCTACAGAAGCAATTGAATAATAATTTAGCAAAATATTATGTGTAAGTTGACAATTTGAAAGAAAAAATTCCTGGTATTTTTGTAATTTTAACTTTGGCAAACCTGCATATTAACACCCAACAGAAGTAGGTAATATTATTACTCCTCATGAGATATCATGATGTGTTTCCCAACCTTTAAAAGGTTAGTAATCGGCATAAAAAAATTTAGTGATTGTGAATAAACAATTTTTCAATAAAAATGTTTAAAATACGGGATATTTCACCACTGTTAATAAATAACAACATTAAAACTTATTTTGATTCCCCATTCGAGTGGAGAAAACTTGCAGCCAAGCAAAAAAAGGGATGAAAAACCGTTTTTTGTCAAGATTTTTTTTGAAAAAAAAAACAACAGTACTCTGACATTTGAATTTGACAGTTAGGGTTGCCAAACTATGATTTTGAATTTGACGCCAACTTCAGGTCAAAAATTAGAACCATTTACGGTCACCCGATACTTAGAGAGATCTATTTTTCAATAAAACAAAACATTTTTTCGTAAAAAGCATTAATTTTGTAAAGGTTTAAAAAAATGTTTAAAAAATACATAATACCGGGTGGTTATAAATGTTTGTGACAAAAAATCTGTAGGCACTGAAATATTGGTAATCCTTGGTAAATTTGGTAAAGTTTGACGTTTGAATTTGAAAGTCAATGTTGCCAAACCACGATCTTAAATTTGACGCCAACTTGAAGATAAAAATCACAATCATAACTCATAATAATTGTCTATTTATTTTTTTACAACAAAGGCCATTTTAAACTCCAAGTTGATTATTATTTTGTGATAAAATAATCTACGCCATATTTAGCTGAAACCAACTGTTATTCAATAGATTGAAAATTGCACGGTATTAGCAGATAAGATAACACTAAATTTAATTCAAAAAACATAAACTCATACTCATACATTATTATTTATTAATAACCGGAAATAGATATCATATCGACATTTTGATCACTCAAAAATACAACTTTTCGGTATGCATTTTCTCATAATTGTTATTCTTCAAATTAGTGATTATTTCACAATTCGAAGAACTTTTCTTCAAGTGACTTTTTCCTCAAACAGTTGTAAATCATTTGCGACAAATACCATAAATCACAAGCACTGACCTAAAATAATAATCTAGTCGTTTTTATTACAGGATTACTTTGTTCATTTATAAAGAAATTGAAGCCAAATTTTCTCGAATTTACTAAAATGGCATTAACCATTATTGTTATTCTCGGTCTTGTGTTTTTCGCCCAAGCTGCTGATTTAAGTAAAACAGCAGTTGTGCAAAAAGTTACAAACATTGTGAAACATATTCCCGAATCTGGTAACTATTAAACATTTCACAATTTCTGGTTAATTAATTTCCCGACTTAGAAAAGAACGATTTTCTGCGGTACCACCTACAAAAAGGACGCCAATTGTTGTTGGAAAAACTACAAGAGAGTTACCCTGACGTAAGTTTCCGTTTTTACATTTTTTTCAATTAAAAAAATTACAATTTTAGTTTGATTATGAGATTGGTGACGAGGACTCTATTTTACTTTACAAATATTACGCCACCAACAATTTGGTAACCGATAAAGAGTTGGTGAAAGTGGTCAGTAATATCATCTGTTGGGGGGATAAATGTATCGATTTCTCCGACCCGGGGGTTCACCCATAAATAAAATTTTTCTCTAAAATTACTGGTCCTGTCTTTTGGCGTTTTATTTCCGTTTTCTGGTGATTTATAAACAATTTAATTGGTGCTGTCAATCACTGACTGATTAATCGCTTAATATTCTGAAAGCGGCCGACATTTTGTCGTTTTACATTCATAAATCGTTCACAAACGAGGTATCATCCAATCTTCGACATGCCAGACTAGATAAGTCTCACAATAAAATACGACCAGCGTGAATGATTGATTCAGTAAAGAAAAAATGACAAGTCTTTGAGACTTATCGTACGATTCTGAAACCTTTATACTTTGTTTTGCGTCTCGACGGATTAGTTAAATGACGCTTATCACTTAATCCGCCTTCTAGATCGCAGAAACACCTGTTATCAATAATGCGCTGTGCCAAGAAGTCTCTTCACGAAAATAAACACCACGATAAAAACTTGTTTACTTGGTTTTTACCCAAAAATAAATGGAATTTCAAAATTTTCAATAATTTCGTGATGCACTTCCAAGTAGTTTGTTAATCTCTCAAAGGAAAGATTATTTTGATTGATGGTCTTTGCCACGATATAAATAATAGCCTCGCAAGTGATTTACTCAATTCGATGGTTTAAAAGTGGGTAAAAATGGCACGACTCTTGACTTTTGTGATTTTTTTAACCGTGCTGGTGGCAATACACGGCGATTCATGTTCCGGTGAGAATTAAGTTTTGCGAAAGTGAAAGATTAACAATTTTTTTAGGAGCAACAAAGGATTTGAGTGAAGTGAAGGCTGAAGACGTAAGAAATTCAAATAAAACACTTTTATCACTTAATTTTGCTTCTCAACAGATCAGGTATTCACTTGAAGTCTACTACAAGCTCTTGTTGTACATCAAAGAGAATAATCTTTTGGATATAGACGACTGTCCGAAATGCAAGTGCTTTGGTGCGGACATGTGCATTGATTTGTGCGATGGTGGCATATGGCCTTGAGTGTATTTTCCAAATAAAAGGTTATTTTAAAATATGTCTTTTTTTATTAATTCCCAAAACACTTTAATAAACATGAAAAGTGAAAAGGGTTTTTGACGAGTCCAAATCGCGGGATTTAACACCTATGGATTAGTTTTATCAGTGGACTGATTAGGAGATTAAGATTTTTGATGTGTGTGAATAACTTGCAACGACCAAAATAAAATAATCTATGGAAATGAATCAAAATTTCGAATTGATTTGGCATTTAATAAAAGTTATACTGAGCGACGTCAGAAATGCAATGTTAATAAATAAGGCTCGCATTATATGCACGACAAATTTGTAAAATATGCGCATATACATGCACGTATTTTCACAATAATATAAAAATGTGATGTTTTATCAAGAATAAAATTTTTCGAAATCTTTATTTGTTTGAGTTCTACAAAAATATTTATTTTCACATGACTTGAACCATTTTTATTTTGGAAATCGTTCAATACGTTTGCTGTTCTTACAACAAACCAGAGAAAACACAGTTTTTAACATTACTTTATACTCTCTCAATCACAAAAGGTTTGAGTAATTGTAAATGTAATTGAGTAAATTGAATAATTAACTTTGTTCAACTGAGTTGGATAACTGATGTTAAAAATAAATGCTAAAGAATTTATTTCTGTTCAATTTCTGTTTTTTTTTCATTTCTTCTTAAAGAATTCTTTCTTGTTTATTCTTTTTGTTTTTGAAAAACTCACAATGATTTCTTTCTTTACTTTTAGTTATTAAGTAACTTCCGAATTTATTTTTATTTAAATTTTATATTTTTATAATAATTATTTTTATTTTTATGTTATAATTGTTTTTTTTTTATCAATTTTCTTTTGAGGTTAAGTTGAATAGCTTCAAGCTAGACTTCGCCTCCGCATTTTTGTATTACTTTTAATTTATTAATAAGAACCTTTATTATTATTATTATTATTAAAATTTTCAAAAATCTTGACTTCCAAGTTGTTTACAACTCTGGCAGAAGTCTCAAAAGTTTTCTTGGTAATCCTAAAATTAAAGTGGGAGCTTTATGAAATTATAACTGTGAAGATTGTGAACAAAAATCTATTGGGCAAACACGTCGATTAGTTAACACTAGGTTTAAAGAACACATAACTCATTTAAGATATAACAGATTTGAAAAATCAAGTGTGGCCCAACATATTTTTGAAAAAGACCATAGAATCCATGAAAATAATGTAAAAATTATTATTAGAGTAGCCAATAATTGTAAATTTCTTGACGGGCTTTCGAGAGTCTTGTATACGTAATATTTGAAAATAGAGAGAAGCTTATGAATTCAGACAACAGCCCCATTCCCTTTTCTCCCCTCTACCCATTAGTTGGTGGTAGGAAAAGTGACAAACGAAAAAATTAATATATAAAGCATTAACATTGTTAAATTAGTTAGTTTTATTTTCACCTGAGGATGACCACTTTGTGGTTGAAATAAAAGTTTGGTGTAACGGTTTAAATTGTGTTTTTGTTCATCATTTCCACGGAAGAACTTCTTAAAAACTTTAAAACTGTACAAAAACATTATTAAGGAATTATTTTCTGAACCATCATTCTAATATAAGAACATTTTCTACGATTTTATTGTCAGCAACAACGATGCACAAATATTGCTCCCCTGTCTTAATTGCGTTTATTTTGGGTATTTTAGCAAGTAAATTGCACGAAGAAACTCGGAAAATGTGACTGAAACAAATGTAAGTCTCAAAGAAGTTGTGCTTTTTTTTAACAAATTTGTAGTTCCGGTTTTCGAAGGAAACATATTATGAACTTCTTTTTTACAAGGAAAGTAAATTAAAAAATGAAATGAAAGTAACTGGAATTTCAAAATTTTCAATAATTTTGTGATGCACTTCCAAATAGTTTGTTAATCTTTTAAAGGAGAGATTATTTTGATTGATGGTCTTAACCACGGTATAAATAATAGTCGCGCAAGTGATTTACTCAATTCGTTGGTTTTCAAGTGGGTGAAAATGGCACGACTTTTGACTTTTGTGATTTTTTTAACAGTGGTGGTGGCAATACACGGCGCATCATATTCTAGTGAGAATTAAGTTTTGCGAAAGTAAAAGATTAACAATTTTTTTAGGAGTAACAAAGGAGTTGAGTGAAGTGAAAGCTGAAAACTTAAGAAATTCAAATAAAACACTTTTATCACTTAATTTCTCTTCTCAACAGATCAGGTATTCACTTGAAGTCTACTACCAGCTCTTGTTGTACATCAAAGAGAATAACCTCTTGGATATTGACGATTGTCCGAGATGCAAGTGCTTCAGTGATGGCATTTGCATTGATGTGTGCAATGGTAGAATATGTTCTTGAAATAAAAATAAAAGGATATTTTATAAGATGTTTCTTTTATTAATTCTCAAAACACTTTTTTGGAATGGACTTTTTAACGAGTCCATATCGTGGGATTTAACACCTATGCATTAGTTTTATTATTGGACTGATTAGAAGATTAAGATTTTTCGATGTGTGTCAATAACTTGCAACATAGACGAAAATAGAATAATCTATGGAAATAAATCAAAATTTGGAACTGATTTTGCATTTGAGCACATTAACATCAGAAAACAATTGTCACAAAAAATGTGACTGAAACAATTGTAAGTCTCAATAAAGTTGTGATTTTTTTTAAACAAATTTGTAGTTTCGGTTTTCAAAGAAAGCTTCTTCTTTACTTCAAGGAAAATAAATTAAAAAATGAAAGGAAGGTAACTGGAATTTCAAAATTTTCAATAATTTCGTGCACTTCCAAGTAGTTTGTTAATCTTTCAAAGGAGAGATTATTTTGATTGATGGTCTTTGCCACGATATAAATAATAGCCTCGCAAGTGATTTACTCAATTCGCTGGTTTAAAAGTGGGTAAAAATGACACGACTCTTGACTTTTGTGATTTTTTTAACCGTGCTGGTGGCAATACACGGCGATTCATGTTCCGGTGAGAATTAAGTTTTGCGAAAGTGAAAGATTAACAATTTTTTTAGGAGCAAAAAAGGACTTGAGTGAAGTGAAAGCTGAAAACGTAAGAAATTCAAATAAAACACTTTTATCACTTAATTTCACTTCTCTACAGATCAGGTATTCACTTGAAGTCTACTATCAGCTTTTGTTGTACATTAAAGAGAATAACCTCTTGGATATTGACAACTGTCCGAGATGCAGGTGCTTCAGTGATGGCACTTGCGTTGATTTGTGCGATGGTGGAATATGGCCTTGAGTGTATTTTTCATATATTAAACTAAATAAAAAGGATATTTTATAACATGTTTCTTTTTATTAATTCTCAAAACATTTTTTGGAACGGACTCTTTAACGAGTCCAAATCGCAGGATTAGTTTTATCAGTGGACTGATTAGGGGATTAAGATTTTTCGATGTGTGTCAATAACTTGCCACAATGACGAAAATAGAACAATCTCTGGAATTGAATCAGAGTTTGGAACTGATTTTGCATTTAATAAAAGTTATACTGAGCGACATCAGAAATGCAACGTCAATAAATAAGTGTTCCACGGAAGATTACAAAACTTGAGGAAAACTTTGAAACGGTACAAAAACATTTCAAAGGGGATTATTTTCTGATCCATCATTCTAATATAAGAGCATTTTTTTCGATTTTATTGTCAGTTTTAGTTTCACAAATCTGGAAGCAACAACGATGCATAAATATTGCTCCCCTGTTTTAATTGCTTTCATTTTGGGTATTTTGGCAAGTGAGTTGCACGAAGGAAACTCGGAAAATGTGACTGAAACAAGTGTAAGTCTCAATGAAGTTGATTGATTTGGAGTGATTTTTTTTAACAAATTTGTAGTTTCGGTATTCGAGGGAAACGTATTATGAGCTTCTTCTTTACATCAAGGAAAATAAATTAATTGATTTGGATTCGTGTCCACAAAAAATCGTCTTCCACCACCATTTCTACATCGACTTGTGCAACACCAGCCAATGGCCTTAATTTCGCTCATTTTCTAAATATACGTTTTATAAAATGATTGCTTGTTTTATTTTTGACATCTTCACATTTTTTGATTAATTACTTTTGATAAATGAAGGACATGTGTAACAGACGTGACCAAATAAAGCTTTTTAAGTGTTTTTTTATTTATTCTAAAGTTATCTTTTTGTTTACAGTTGAAGCTTTCAAGGCTTTGAGGTCAATTACTTCAAGTTATTTATTGCTGAGAATGATTGACTTTTTATAACATGTTCAAGATTTTTTTGATAAAAAATTAAGTATTTATAGAGTTTGTAACCTTGAAGATATACGAGTTCTTTATAATTTGCTTGGAAAAAAAGATTTTATATCGGAAAAATTGTCTACCGGTTTTTTAATTACAAAAATGTCCAAATTCTTAGCTTGATATTTGCCGGTTAAAATGCTCCACGACAAGTAGTTTTTAATATTTCAAGATACTTTAAGAGTTTCAACATTTTGAGTGTCCGATGTGTCGAAAAATTAAAAACTATACCTCTGAGAAAATCCGGATTTTTACCACTCGATAAATAATTGAAAGCACATTTCAAAAAGTCTTTTTTCTAATTTGCGTTTATAATACGTTTATTAACGTCTCCAGTAGGAGTCGTTTATGGCTATCTATAAAAGCACACTGTGCTTTAATGAATTTAGGGTTATTTAGTTTTTGGATGCCGCTTTTGACTTGTCAGGTAACAAATTTTGCGTTGTTGCTTCGGCAATTTCGCGAATTTCGGGCGGAGTGCAAACTAAATTCTGTTTCTCATATTTTTTATTATTATTATGTTGTAACACTAATAACTAATAATTTGTAAATTTTATTTTTAATGACAGACGGCAGAAATGACTCAAAAAAACAGGTGGGCGCCGAGTGTTACCAACCGATACCAATTAACACAAAATTCTCTAGGCGACAAAAATATATATTTTTTTAATTAAAATAAGAAAAAAGGGGGCGCAAATTAGAAAAAATAGCATAAAATACTCGTTTTATAATGGCATTCAACCCTTATAAAACTTGTTCTTTAATATACTATTTTATTTTTTTATATTTTTTATGAAAAATGGGTTTAAAATATTAGGTCGTAAAACATTAAGAAGTAAATTTTTGTTGCTTACCGCTCCAGTTCCGAAAATCCACCAAAATTTTGTCAAAAATTTAAAAATTGAAAACTTCAAGAGGTCTAAAAGTGCATAAAACGTCGTAGAAACACAAAAAACGTCAAGAAATTTGCAAAATTCTCAATAGTTTCCGTATATAGATTGTAAGTCTAATAATTTTCTCGATAGCTATGTGTAGCAGAACAAAGAACTTTTTTTTAAAAGACAGAAAATTAAAAGCATTTTTCAACGGTATCAAACGCAAACGAGTTATTGACATTAGTCTCAAAGTTATTAGCTAATAACCGATAATTGACCAAAATTTTAACAAACTGGAAAAACTGAAAATTTCATTGAACTCACTGCATTCCTAGAGTTCAAAAAGACCAGAAAAGTGCATAAAACGTTTTATAAACGTAAAAATAAATTTTTGAAAAATTTTGTTCATGTATGAACATATTGAATTAAAGCACTGAAGCTACCGGCGGCGTGGTGGCGTAGTGACATAAGGTCAAGTCGGCAATTTTTCTCTAATGTATATAAGTGTAATAAGAGAGCATAATTTATCGTAAAAGAATTTTTTAAATTTTTCTCAAAAAATCGTAAATTGTAAAATTGAACCATATAACGTTTTTTACACTTCCAATAGTTTTAGAGACTCAGAAAAGTGATAAAACGTTATTGGAACTAATAAAAAAAAACGATATCCGTTAGTTTTTTAAGGACAGTAGTATTTTTACCACCTAAAAATTGTAAAAATAGTCAATTAACTTTTTGGCGTAAAAACACTTAAAATGTAGTCTGCAACAAGTTAAAATGATGAATAATCAAAATTTTGAAGGTACTACTGAAACACCCAACATAAAGCCCAAAAAACCCTTGATTGTTTATTTCAGTTTTGTTATATTCTCTCAGAATTAAACTAAAAAAATTCTAATTCTTTGAAATATTAGTTTCTAAAACCTAACTCAATTTTTTTTACAAAAAACTCTTAAACTTCACAAAAACCAACAATTTATTAAAGGAAAATTTGGTCAAATACCCCAGATAGATCTGTTTCAGTAATTTCTATTTCACTAACAATAAATTTTTACAACCCAAACCTGTGTTAGTCATTTTGCACAATTCAAACACCTACCCAATAATTGGCTTACAAATCTAGATTAAGTGCCATAAATCTGTCAATTTTGAAAAACAACACTCCTCCACGTTATAAATAAGCCTCGATTGTGTCTTATCCCAAACCAAAATGAGTCCTCGACTGTTCATTTTTTGCGTGTGTTTCTTAACCTTGACCAGTGCCTTCAGTTTGAACCGAAATGGTTAATTAGTTAATTTCCAATTTTTTCAATTTAAAAACATTAATATTCCAGGTGAGCCCGACTTGAGGTCCTCCGGGTGCCCCAAAATCATCTGCTTTGCCAACGGAAAATGTCTAGACATGTGCGACCCCGGAGTTTTCCCGTACAAGAAAAACACCGATACGAAACTCGATGAATCGACAATGTAAATTCACAAATAAACTATAAATTTTTAAATCAATTTTTATTCCCTCCCCAATCCATCAAGCCACTTTATGAGAGCACGTACTTTATTTTTTTCTTCCACTTTTCCTTTATCAAGTCATAAATTTCTGGGATTAGGTGGGAGCGTCTTGTTTGATTCGACTTTTCATAACAGTGTCATAAATCGCACTCATCACAATGAAGAAAATTTTATTCTCGTTCTCGTTTTGAATTTATTTTTGGGAAAAATCGAGAGGGCCCCTGCATTGTGTGCCAAAATGGGCAGAATGGTGCCACGTGGGGGCCACATGCCGGGCTATTTTTATTTCTCTCTTAATTAAATTGTGCCATAAATAGTTTTTTACAATAAAAACAGTTCGTAGTTTAATTATTTCGCTCTAATCCTGATAATAAAGCAAATCCTTTTGATAAGTGTATAAAATCAAGGTTCGTTAAGGTAAACCACTAGTGAAAATGAGCGCCCTAATAAAATTATTTCTCCTCGTATCGATTTCCACTGTGATTTGTGGTGCCCTGGAACAGGTTCAGGATCCTTGTGAGTGTTTACTTTGTGTTAAATTTTGATAAGAATTATCTGTTTTAGTACCAGCAGGTCTTTGGACTGCTTTTAAAAGGGGAGCTGAAACGAGTGATCGAAGGGCTGTAAAAATGATGTTGGTAAGTTGAAAGCAATTAAAATTTGTAATTGACAGATTTGAGTGGTTTCTTTTGAAATTGCCTGATAATATCACGAGCTGTCAATCAATTTGTTTATGGAATTTTCAAGGGAACAAAGTGAAAAGTACGCCAGGACTGGGGCAGAGTCATTGATAAAAACAAATTAGGAAAATCGGCGACGTAATAAAAGTGCATTTGCGGCCGGATTAAGGCCAATAGATCATTTTTGACGCGTCTAGATTAGAAGTGATAAGAGTAGATTAAAATGTGCAAAATAATGAGTGAAAAGAAAATAATAACAATTTCTTAATAGGAAAATTGCGGCAGTAGAAATGAAATCTTTTAAATGTTTGTTCAAGAAACAAGTTTCGCAAAAAATCACAAAAATGTAACTTTTGCATAATATAAAACTTATAGAAAATGCAAATTTTTGTTGCTTTATTATTTTAGTTTTATTTTTCAAAATTTTTTCTGTTGAAAAATTGAGTAAAAATAAAATGAAACAAAAAACACAAATATCGGCTTACTGGAAGGTCAGATCATTGTGGGTTCGGATAATCGAAGTCGCACTATAGTTTTTTGACGCTTGTAGATTAGAAGAATTTTTGAAAAATATAACAGTTCTTCTTTTTATAAAATGTATTTTTTAGAAAGAAATTTTGTAAAAATTACAAAAATACAACTTCTACATGACCTAAAATTTATAAAATATTTCTTTAAAAAAAATTTTTCATTATTTTAGTAGGATTATTAAAAAATCTACTGTGTTTTTTAAAAATTATTTATTTTGCAATTCCTTCAATTTTTACCGGAGGTGTAGTTTGAGGCTGACTGATTTTTTTTAAATGTCTGTTGAAAAATGTAACAAATAAAACAAAGAATTCATATAAACATAGAATTACTAGAAGGTCAGATTATCGTGGGTTCGGATAATCGAGGTCGTACTGTACACAATTTTTTTGAATTTTTTGACGCTTCAATATAAGAAGTAATTAAAGAGATTAGAATATGCAAAATAATGACAATTTTTTAATAGGGAAAATTTATGCCTCTTACTTGTGTTTATTTTAATATTAGAAATTTATCTTTATGTGGTATTCCCTTTTTGAGAGGTTATGTAATCATTCTTCCTTTTTTTATGAAAATTATAACATTAATTACTTA